CACCTACCATTCAATTTTTAGACTGATCATTTCTTTGTGAGTGGGCAAACATTCAAAATCAGCAGGGGATCAAATACTTATTTCCTTCACTGTATGTTATAGAATTATTACCAAATTAAAAACATTCCTTTTAGAAATAAGAAAACATTGCCAAAAGGGTAATAAAAAAGCTAGCATATTTGCTAGATGCAGGCTATGACTTTTAGATGGAAAAATGTGGTAGTCCCAGTAAATGCAATAAGACGTAATTACTGTTAACTGTAGAGTTTGTGCTGTCATGCAATAAACTAATGTTGTGTGATTATTTATTTTAATACTAATAAAGGTATTCCTATGATCCATGACAATCACAGAGCATTTTCAGTAAATTGCAAAAAAGCGATTAAGATAAACATGTAGCTGTGGGTAGAGGTAGTGATACTGCACTAGTGGCAGGTGACTTCCTATCCAGTAATTCCGCTAAAGCACACTACAGTCAGCGCTCCTCAGCCTATCCACAGCCTCACATGACTTCAATGCACTAAAATGAGTCTGCAACTGTTTTCAGTAGTGAAACAGGAACTCTGCTCATTCCTACCCAACTTCCTCATCCCAAATTTAGTTGCAAGGCTCACTTTCTACATGATTACCTATCAGCCACCAACCAAGATAATTCCAATTTCCAGCAGTTGTGATTAGACAATAGACAAAGAGTGTAACTAACAGCAACAATGTAATGACTGCAGTAATCCATATCAACCAATCAGAAATAATCTAGGTGATTTCAGCCATAAATGTGATAATCGGGCCGTTTTTGATATACAGTGAGGGTGATGGCTAAATGAATTGTAAAGGCCGATGTTGCAAACACTAGTTATTGCTCAGCATGACTTTGTGTAGATAAATCCCCTTGGGAGCAGACTTTAGAACTAAAGCTGCCCTTCTGCTTTGCTGTCATTGTTGAGCGAGTTTCTTAAGAAGCTATAGTATTTTCTCATATATGGCTAGCCTGAAACTTCCCCATTTCATCGTGGAAAATAACAAAGTAGACGCTTTCCATGCACTTTTAAACTGCAATAACTAATATGCTTCTGAATCTGGGGTTTTCTGAAAATTCTGGTGTAATGCGGCTGAAATTAACATTAAAAATATCTTTCATTCTTTTTTTGATTGTACTCTTTCTCTCCTGAGGCTACTGAGATAATTATGTCTTACTAGCAGCAGAAATTAGGTTAGAAAGCCTCCAGCAGACCTTGCTTCTTTACAGATAGGTGCAGCATGTACTCAGATACTAAAAGTATGGGCCCAATTTACTAAAACCGCACATATCCAGTGAATGAATGTGCTTCTCTGCCAACAGACCATTAAAAAAAAAAAAACGAAATTACATATTAATATAATAGACTCCTTCCTTATTCATTCAATTTTACATGTAGTAACTATTTGCTGTCAATTTTTATTTATATTATTCTATTTATATATTCTTATGTTGATCAGTATACAGAATGGAAAACTTGGAAAAACCCTTTACTTTATTTTTTATATACTTTAACATATTGGTATTATAAAGAATACGTAGATGGGTATACTAAAATCTACATATAGGCATACCTCGGTTTACGAATTGAATTCGTTCTGCGGGACTTTTCGTATAGCGAAAAATTTGTAAACCGAAATGCCGTATCCCATAGGAATGCATTGAAAACCAATTAATCCATTCCTGAGGTCAGAAAAAAGTAAATGTTACTAGAATAACGCAGGAATTATTTTCTAAAGTCATGCAGTATTTTAGTAGTGACAACCATGTTTTAATGTTTCAGCTGTCAGCGGGGTTCCCCACTGACAGCTGAATGTAAAAGAATTGCCGGCAATTAAAAAAATAAATTAAAAAACGGCGTGGGATCCACCCTCCCATCCATACCAAGCCGTGTCCTGTCTTTTTTCACAATACACTTTTTGTTTTTTGTGAATGAGTATCGGGACCCCTTGTCAAAGGGGGCTTCCAGATTCCGATAAGCCCCCTGCCCGCAGAGTGCCACAAACACCGGCCAGGGGGGTTGTGGAGAAGAGGCCCTTGTCAAGGTGCTTTGGGGGGGAGCCCCCCTACCCCAAAGCACCCCCCCATGTTGAGGGCATGTGGCCTGGTATGGTTCGGGGGGGGGGGGGCGCTCACTCGTCTCCCCCCTTCCCTGACCTGCCAGGCTGCATGCTCAGATAAGGGTCTGGTATGGATTTTGGGGGGGACCCCACACTATTTTTTTTTTTTTTTTTAATTTTGGCATGGGAGTTCCCCTCAAAACCCATAGCAGACCCGATGGGCTTGGTATGGATGAGAGGGGGGACCCCACACTGTTTATTTATTTATTATGGTGCCGGTTTTTAAATGTAATTACCGCTTTTTATTTTCTTCACTATAGCCTCAGAGATTCAGCTGTCACGTTCCCCACAGCTAAAAGAAAGAAAGTTTCCTTTTAGTTTATTTTCCCCAAGTTAAAAGAAACAATGTTTTCTTTCAGTTTCTTAATAGAAACAAAGCTCCCTTTAACTCCGGGGAAAGTGGCAGCTAATTCTGTGAGCTAGTGAAGAAAAAAAAAAAAACGGCGATTGCATTTAAAAACCGGCACTGACATACACTTCATATTGCGAAAAAAATGTGTAAACCGAGGCATTATTTTCAATGGATTTTCATTCGTAAACCGAAAATTACATTAACCAAGGCATTTGTAAATCGAGGTACGCCTGTATTGCCTGTCTTATCCAAAGAAGGTATGCAATAAATCAAAGAGCTTTTTTAAGATCAAAGGCACTGTTGTTACTGAAGGGGGTATTCTAGCATCATTGTGGATCAACATACAGTCGAACTCTTTCAATCCCAGTGAAAAGTAAACCTCAGTTTAAACCAGTATAATTGGTTGTCATAGGTTATCCGTATGTCACGCTAGAAATTCTGTCATTAGCAACAAGTGGCACAATTATGTAATTTTACCTGCTAATATTGTGTCATTCCGTTGCTCTCAAAACCAGTGATAAATAGCTGTGTCACTGTTCCCTTATAACTATGAATATTCTGCAGCATGTGGGCCCACAATTAGAGAGAAGGAGGCTGATTTAAAGGAGTTGAGAATCATCACTCAAAAAATATGTGAATATTCACATTAGTTATCCAATCACGTGAAAAGCATCTGCACATGATTGAGCATTCAAAGTAAACAACTATTTGCTTTTAACATGGTTGGATAATTGAAGAGAATAGTCACACAATTGTTGAAGTTAATATTCCTAAACCCTTCAGTAAATTAGCCCCATAGTAGCTGTTACATGCTAGTGATCTTGCTGCAGGCAAGGTGTCACCTGCAGCCAATTCATCTATATGACAAGGCCCTTACACACAATGATTGGACCTAATAAAGGACATAACCAAGCATGAGCTAATAGAAAACAATTTTTACTGAAGTATATTAAAATTATTAATAGTTTAGTTGCTTTGAAAACAGAAAACATAAATATAAGATTGAAAACAATATATATAAGCTGGAAGCCCCAGCCTATATCTCCGCACTAAAGTGGTGGTGAAAGTGTCACACAAATATTAAATAATATAACAAAACAGCCATTTTAAATAACAAATAAATCAATAAACAGTGACTAAAAAGATTCACATAAACAGTGCTATGTCATAATAAATTGTCATAAAGAAATAATTCTAACATGAACAATATCTAATCAAGTTAATTAAAAGAAATACTAAAGAAACCACAAATAAAAAATGTGAAAAAAGTTCAGTTAATTTCAGTGATGTGATATCTCTCTAAAGTAGCACTGATCTACCATCAATGTGATCTCGCAGCAATTATCAACCCATTGAATTCAACACTCACCAGAAGCTGCTGAATAACCAGCAGTGGAAATTCAGTAGAAAATCAAATGCCTTAATGCTGAATAGTTGTAAAAACGACAATTGGATAATCAGCCAGCAACCCAAAGCAACCTTAAATCAATGGAATATCAATCACTCAAGCTCCGATCTCCTCATCAGCCCGATTAGATGATATCAATCCATATATGGGCAAAATAAAACAGCCACATAGTGTAATAATGTAAACATATTTATTGCCTTGAAACCTCCCTTTAAAATGCACTCACATTGAGTAAAAAAATGAATGAACATTGTAAGCAAAACCTTCCAATAAAATGGCCGCCACTAGTATGGCTTGTGACGCGTTTCATCATTCTGACTCCCTCAGAGGAAGTCGTAATGACGAAACGCGTCAGACGTGACCATCTGTGACATCAGCACACACCGGGACCACGTGGTGTGATCACGTGACTGCTATTGCTCGGAATCCACAGGAACCACTGTGTGGTGAGAATGTCGAGAATGTCACCAGCCGTACTAGCGGCGGCCATTTTATTGGAAGGTTTTGCTTACAATGTGCATTACTTTTTTACTCAATGTGAGTGCATTTTAAAGGGAGGTTTCAAGGCAATAAATATGTTTACATTATTACACTATGTGGCTGTTTTATTTTGCCCATATATGGATTGATATCATCTAATCGGGCTGATGAGGAGATCGGAGCTTGAGTGATCGATATTCCATTGATTTAAGGTTGCTTTGGGTTGCTGGCTGGTTATCCAATTGTCGTTTTTACTATTCAGTATTAAGGCGATTGATTTTCTACTGAATTTCCACTGCTGGTTATTCACCAGCTTCTGGTGAGTGTTGAATTCAATGGGGTGATAATCACTGCTGGATCACATTGATGGTGGATCAATGCTACTTGAAAGAATATCACATCACTGAAATGAACGGAACTTTTTTTCACATTTTTTATTTTTGGTTGAAGTTTCTTTAGTATTTCTTTTTAATTATCTTGATTGGATATTGCTCATGTCAGAATTATTTCTTTATGATAATTTATTATGACATAGCGCTGTTTATGTGAATCTTTTTAGTCACCGTTTATTGATAAATCTAAGATTAACATAATAGGAGTAAAGTGTACCTTTTTAAGTATAGTCTCCAGTGATGCTTCTCCAGAAGCCTGTCCTGATATGTCCTGAATTGTCTGGGAACACTCAAATGCACCAATTTCAATAAGCTTTTCTAAAGACAGTGGGTTCTCAGAGTCTATCAGTGTAGCATTGATTTCCTCCTCTAGGGCTGACCAATGCCGTGGCTTCAGACATGGATTTCTTAGGTCAGTTATCACTGGTACCTGTAAAATACAAAATCATGAATGTATTTTTTTTATTACGCTTCATGCACACTAGCATAAAAATAAGCTCCTAGCAGATACTTTGTGCATTATTTTTCCTGCTTCTAGAAGCAGTGTTGTCCTATGTGTCCCTGCACACTATTTTAGACTAGAAGTGTTTTTGAAGCTTCAGCTTTTAGAAGCAGAAAAAAAACTGGGTTGATGATGTCACAAGGGGGCAGGGTCACCTGCTGATGTCACCAGTTGGCCCCACCCCTTAGTTTATTTAGCAGGGGGGCAGTGGATCTGTCAGACAGTGGGAGACAGCGTTGGGTGTGGATTTCTTTTTTTTGAATCGGAGGCTGGCATTCTTTTTGATTAACATTGGATCTACTTTGGGGGACATTTATTTTTGGGTTTATTTGGGGGGGTTGAATAAAGGACTTGTCAAAAACTGCCTCAGTTTCTATTCACTTTACTCACTTTTAACACTTTTTTGATGAATGAATAGGGGTACAGTGTACCCCTACTCATTCACATGGAGGGGCCTGGGATCTGGGGGACAGCTTGGTAAAGGGGGCTTCCAGATTCCAATAAACCCCCTACCCACAGACACCCTCGACCCAGGGATGTGGAAAAGAGGCCCTTGTCCCCATCGACATGGGGACAGGGTGCAATAGGGGAGGGGGACAAAGCTCCCCTCGGCCCACAAGGAGGGCATGTGAATTGGTGTGGTTCACGAAGTGGGGGGCACTCCCTCGCTTCCCTCCTTTCCTGGCCTGCCAGGCTGTATGCTTGGATAAGAGTCTGGTATGTATTTCGGAGACCCCCACGCCATTTCGCCATTTTCTTTTTTTTAATTTTGGCACAGAGTTAGCCTCAAAATCCATACCAGACTCGAAGGGCCTCGTTTGAATTGGGGGGGACCCACACACTGTTTTTATTTTAAAATGTAATTGTCTTTACATTCAGCTGTCAGAGCACTGATGAGCCATTGGCTATTAAGGACACGGCAGCCAGCTTGCTGGCCGGCTTCTTAACAACCAGCTAAACTGCTGAAAACCCACAAAATGATGGGAAAAATCATTCAGATTTTGTGTGCTCCTGTTTTAGCAAATGACTCCCTTTGTACACTGAGCTGATTACACAGATGTTTCACATTAAATAGTGCATGCATTAGTGCAAGAAAAAAAACATGATACTGCACACATACCAAAGCCAAACAGAAACACTGTAAGGTCAACGATATTTCCAGCAATGCTATAAACATTTTATATAGAAGAAAAAAGAACAAAGTCCTCAGATATTTTCTCAGGAATCAGCTCTACATATTGGAAACAGCAGTTTATGTTCTGATTTCCCTTTGGGCAACTTTACCAAAAATTCTCATCAAGAAGGCAGAAAGACACACACCAATGATGTCAAATCATTAATTAAAGCCACAAAAAAGCACACCGCAGCCCTGCTTTGGACAGCCCCTGTCTACCATTTCACCCAGGATGGGCTTGACCACAACCATCTCCGTGATAAATCCTGTATTGGGTACAAAGCTAGAGAAGAACTGTCCTAGGTGGGGCTGCAGTGTGCTTTGTCTGGCTTAAAAAAAGTTGGATGTGATTTGACATCATTGGTGTGCGACTTCCCTTCATTCTTCCTTAGTTTTTGGAGTATGGTTTTAACTCCATTTAGTCAGCACCCAGAGCTCCAGAGGTGAATGATTTTTATACAGGCTTGGAATGGCAACATCTCTCTACATGTCTACATTAAAACAGTTAGTGCATATCCTTCATGGAACATCAAGTAAATCTAATGGCACACATGTGGTGAGATACATTCATACCAACATGCTTTACTACATGCCCTTTACATGCACTGAGGGTTCTTGCACAGTGAGCTTAAAAAAGCACCAGTTCCCTTGGCAGAAAAAAACTCTCAAATACAGCATTTTTGAAAGCGCAAATAAACCCTTCTATGTGTTACAGCCAAGGAAGCTTCAATCTTAGCCTCTGTATGATCTGTAGTTGCAATGGTGTTGCTCATGTAATTAGTTATGACGACAGCCGTTTGATGGTTTGAGGTGAGTAGGGGAAGGGAGCGCTAAGACGCATCTACCCTGTGTGCGTTTGGGGATGGACCATCAGCAATGGGGGTTAGTAGAAGGTCCATGTGGAAGTGGTGTCCAAGTCCATCTTTAGTGGGGGGCTTGTAGTAGTATGGACTTGTCAGAGGAGGCAGCCGGCTGTAAGAGCTTGTAGATACTCCTTAATGCAGGTGAAGAAGAGAGACAGCAGCGCCACTGGTTTTAAAATCAGGCAGATTTAATGGTAAAAATCAATTTTACCATTGAGTTTGATGGTTTGAGAGTTTAGTAGACAGCAAAAGCATCTGTGAAAGGTATCATTACTGGCATGCCTTATATGTAACTGTTATGGGAAGCATTAAAGTAGTTCTAAAGCCTAAACATTTTTTTACCGTAATGGCGGTAGCAAAATGGCCCCTCAATCTCCTCCTTTGATCCAGCACTGTGCCTCTTTGTATCAGCTCTCCCTGCTTTTATAGGCTTCAGCTGCATCAGCTCCCACTGCTGTCAGTCAGATACTGTGGTGGGGGAGTGGGGAGCAGGGCCGAGATGCACTGTCAGTTTTTTATGGACTCAGGCAGAGTGGCTCAGGAGCGTTACCCCGTAGGTATGCCAAATAGCAAGCAGCTTACTTTGGAGGCACGCAAAGAAGAAGTGGAGCCAGGAGTACCAGCAGGGGACACAAGAAGTGGAGGTTCGAGGCCACTTTGTGCAATTACATTGCACACAGAGCTGGTAAGTATAAACCTTTTTGATATTTTTAAAAAAAAAAGCATTTACAGTCATTTTAAATTAAATCAATGAACGCGGTCACACCCCAAGAAAATCCTGCTGGTAAGTTTATTGTGCATAGCTGGTTGCAGACACAGTCCCTGCCTTAAGGCCACACCCCTCTAACATATTTCGCCCCTCCTTTGGCATAAGCATAGAGGTCACCCGGAGCAGTGGGCTTCCCAAGAGGCTGTTTTAGGAGTTTGGAGTAGTGTAGATTTTCTTTTGGCATTTCACAGTGTTTTGGGAAGCAGTTAAAATCAATAAGTCTAATTCTTGTTTAAAGAGGAAGTGAACTCAAAAAGTGAAGGTTTGCTATGTTATAGAGAACATTTTGAAATATTAATTAAACCTAACCAGTACCAGCTGAACTCAGCATTGCTGATACAGGGGAGGAGAGAGTTCTGGGGGTCCGTTTCCAACACCTAGACATAGGGATGTGAACTTTGAAAGTATTTCTGCAAGGCTTCATGGATGACAGAAAATGCCTACAAGTATGGCATTTGTATCAAACAAGATTTTTACAAATAGACAAGTGTATTTTAGACTACTGAAGCTACTTGTCTGCGTTTATGTCAAAGGTGAACTCAGCCTTGAAATGTTTAACACCGTGCATTGGACAACTTATGTTAACATAAGCATTCTAGAAGTGAAACATTGCTTAATCTGTGCTTTTTCTATGCAGGGCACAGTAACAGGTTTTTTTTAATGTTACCCACTGCAGCAGTTTTTATTCACCCACCGACAGCCCTGTTCACCACCAAGAAAGAAGAGAAATACAGATAACTGCTGGGTAAGGATAAGCGCAGGTTTGGTCTCAACTTGGGTCTGGTCAAACCCAAATTTGGACCAAACTCGTATTCATCCCTACTGGTGGGTAAAGAGAAGCTAGTTAATTTTTTTTTCTTTTCTCCTACAGGAAAGTGTTGGTGCTGGAGTTCCTAGGTCTGTATAAACTCGAAGCTACAGAAAGTTAAAACCAAACAGGAACTACTGCAGGTTGAATGCATGTAATACTGACTACCGATTCACCCGTAAAGTGAAGGGTGCTGTCCTCAGGACCACAATTCACTAAGTACAAAATATAATATGTGAAAAAAGGATTCACACAAAAAAAAAGGTCCAGATTGAGGACAAAAACTGTGGCTTGAATCAGAAAAATATAACAGTCTTTAATGAAAATATTAGATCTATATAAGCTCACACTAGAATTACTAGTTTACAAAGAACGTCCCCCTTCATATTATCACAGAAGATGCCACACTATACTATTTGCTTTACTGAGTACTCACTTTCAATTAGATATGCTACAGTTAAAGTTTTCTCATTAGATAAAGTGTCTTACCTTTTCTTTCATATTTTCCACCTTCTCTTTCAATCGCGGGACTACATTATTTGGAGGTAATCCTTTTTCCAGCTGATGTACAAATTTAGCAAATTTAAGCACTAAGGAATTCAGTTGCTCAGGGTCCAGAGTTTCAAACTTAGACTAAAAATGCAATTAAATAAAACTGAATTAAATATAATTCTTTTTTTTTTTTTTTTGCTCTACAGTACTGTATATCAATTACTTTACCTGCATCCACTCAGCCTCTAGAGTGTCCCACTCAGTCATTGAATCCCACAGCAGCTGTTTCAGTTTTACTTCTGCACTCACTTCTTCTAATGCATCAAACCTGGTCACTTCAACCTGTAGATGCCAATGCATATAAATTCAGCCATGAATAGCAGTCAATAAATACTCAATTGTCCTCACCATATAAAACATATCTGTGAGGTCCTAAATACAACCATAGCAAGCATGTAAGTTCAATGGTGGCTAACAATAAAAAAGGACCAAGACAAGAACTGTGCAGCTTAAAAATCTACCCAGGTAGCAGCAGAGGCAGACTGACAACTCATGGGGCCCCTGGGCAATATGGGATCATGGGGCCCCTGTGTCCTCGCCCATACCCAAAAAAGCCTATGAAAAAGCCAATGAAAGGTACCAAGGGCATCTCATGGGACCCCCTACTGTCCGAGAGCTCCAATAGTCAGTCCACCCCTGGGTACCAGTAATGTTGAAAATATACAGTTAAGGTGGTTATATGTTTCAATTTCAATATGTTTATTGATTTAAAAGATTTTACAATACAAGGTGAACAATATAGACAGAGGTACACAAGGTACCATATCAGCAAAGTAAAGGCAACAGTAGCTCTATAACATGGCAGCATTAACAGATCATAGCTCAAGAGCTTAGTAAGCCTAAAGTATAGACATTAGAAGAAAAGAAAGGGACAATGCCATGAAGAAAGAAAAAGATAGGAATGAATAGTAGTAGGGGAATGGGTAGGGGGTAGAAAGCAGGGAAGGTGGTTATATGTTTATGAGGCTAGCTTATGGCAGACAACAGAGAGAAGTAACTTTTTTATCACAAAGGTTCACTTAAATATTTTTTATTTTAATAATCAAGTTTTATTAGAGTTTTCAAACAGTACAAAAGAAAAATGTTAGAATCACAAGTTCAGGTGTACTCAAAGATCATACACTGCAGAGCAGGGGTGTCAAACAGGCGGCCCTCCAGCTGTTGCCAAACTACAAGTCCCATGAGGCATTGCAAGATTGACCGTTACAAGCATGACTCCCAAAGGCAGAGGCATGATGAGACTTGCAGTTTCGTAACAGCTGGAGGGCCGCCAGTTTGATACCCCTGGTGTAGAGAATGACTCAGATGTATCAGATAAGGAAGAAAAAGCATGTAAAGTGCATCTAAAGTCACATCATGCTCCAGAACAAATATTAGCTTGAAAAGAAAAGGCACGAACAGCCTATATTCTGTCAGAAGAACTATACTGCCTGTAGTAAGTTCACTTACAATTTGACTATCATTTTGCAATAGCAGAAATCCTATTAATGTATTTCCAACTACTAAAAGGAGGTGCATATAGTGAATGTGTGGTATCACATATAGTTATTACAAATTGGTTACAAGTGAGGCAATATTATAGTCCCGCAGAATTTCTGTTTCCATAGAAATTAGAAAATCAGCAGTTTGGGTGCTGATTTTGTATATACTTTTTTATCACACAGCAAAAAGTAAGGTTTCAAAACGCATTTAATTTCATTAGTCAAATAAATATCAAACACTGCATATAAATATTTCATATTTACATTTATAGCAAGCATGGGGATCTCTTTCCTAATTTTATCATATTTATCAGGCTAACTTTTAACTGTTTTTATGAAAAACCCCTGTTTACAAATCTCAATAGCTCAAATTCGAGCAATGGCTTATCCCCTTTGCTCTTTGCTCTATACACATGACGCCAAAAAAGGTAAATTAGGTGCAAGTTATCATTTATTATAAGTTAATTGCTATCAACTCATAACAGAAGATGTTCATTTGCATCTCATTTCATCTCGATTTGACCTTTTTGATTCTCTTTGTCTTCTACACTTCAAATCTTTAAGTTCCCTCAATTGGCAGAGGATATCCTTAGTTTAGGAGTAGCTAAAAATACTAACGCTACTGAACCTACAGTCCTCCACATCAAAAATAGCAAAGTAGGCCCTTTTGTGTTCAGCTGCTTAGTATATATTACTTTAACATGTTTTTTGGCTGCGCATTTACACATTGTAATTTTGACATTTGATGCTACTACATATTCTTGTGAGTATGAACCTAGAGAACAACTGGTATATTGTTTATATCTTTAGCACAGAAGCAGCAGAAGCAGGAAAAAAGTCCTTATCTGTTTCCAACAGAGGGATTAGTGCATTTGTAATGTTATTTGTTAGGATAATATACTATGATGTGGTTCCTTAAAATTAGTTTTCATCATACTTGTTGCAGCTTATATACGTGCCCATGGGATCATTTTGTAATTACATAAAAACACATATGTTTAATTGGAATTATATTTTTGGGACATTTACATTTTAAGTCCATTATTATTCAGTTTGGCCTGTTCACAGAGCTCTGTTCAAAGTTCCAATCAAAGAAAGTCTGACAGTAAACACATTGGGCTTTTTATCTCTTTTGCAAACCCATAGTGCTTTGTGAATCATAGGTGGGCTAGTATTAAATGTTTATTTGTAAAATAAATATTTTTTATTACTGGAAAAAAAACATAATCAATAATCAATTGTATGTATAAACTGTATTTTGTATAAATTTTACAAATAAAAAAATGACCAAATGAACCTTTAGTTCACTTTTATGTAAAGTTGACAGTAAATCATTTTAGATGGAATCCCTTCCTACTTCAGTAATAAGAAAAAGATATGAAGAAGAAGCACTATTTTGGGGGCATAGTGACTGCCAATGAGGGAGTTGATGCTGATGTTACAAAGGGAATTGGGATCAAGGAAACCATTCATAGCAAAGCAGATATGAAGCTAAGCCGATTAATAAAAATGAAGTGGGGATATTCAAGTCTAGTGAAAATTCTAATGCTCTCTATGGCTATGATACATGGAAGATTATAGCTAGCGTTAACAAGAAAATACAGGAGGTTATCATGAAATGCCTAAAGTAAACCAGCCAGTATCTCAAAGATGATTAACTTATCCTGCGAATAAAATGCAAGTATGTAGAAATGACCATAGAATTTACATTTGATCATGAGCTGGCAGGAGCCCAAAAGCTCAGAGAGTTCAAAACTCCTGATGAACGTCCATCTCCACTACCAACACCACTCTTGTATTGGTCAAAAATGCCACCCAATAGGAAGGTGCAAAAATGGGAGGGGGGGGCAGTTCTCAGCTAGAAAAGGTCTAAATTTGCTTATTAGAGTCAGAATGGGGGTAGTTGTTTATTCATTTGAAGCTATGTCTTCATTTTATCCATATAATCAGTTTAGCAGCCTTGAGAACAAAAATGTAAGTTTTAAGTTCAGATACTATATCAAGTGGTCCTGAATTATCCCAGTGTCAGGGCAGGGGCTGTGGAACGGACAGGCAGGCCTAGTGGCAGGGTAATGCACTGACTGACGACAACCACCACCCACAGACCGAAGTCCCTCAGGGCGCGGAGTCTAAGTCCCAGGCTGCCCTTCACCAGAGCCCCTGATGGTGGGGATGGACTTGACGCAGCCAGGAACCAGGTCGTGGCCCCCGAGACACCCCGGCTGCGGTACTGGCCGCCGCCAATGGCGTGTAGCTGGTAGGAATGATAATAGCGTAGTCAGGCAGTCTGGGTCCGACAACAACAGGACAAAACGGTACAGAACAGTGGACAAGAATCACAGGTCACGGGCCAGGTTCAGCAACGGAAGGTCAGATCAAAGGAAAACACAGAGAATGGTCTAGTCACAAGCCGAGTCATATTCCAGGAGAGTCACGAGAGTATGAACAGAGCTGTAGCAACACCAAGACACAAGACACAAGTGCAAAGGGCATGTGCGGATCACAGGCTTATATGTAATTAGCCACACACCCCTGGGGGATGGACCTCAGAGGCCTGAAGGCATAAAAGACTCCCACCATGCTCTGCAGAAACCCAAGATGGACACCAGCAAATTAAGCAGCACAATCTCTGGGAAAAGGTAGGACCTTGACACACAGTTAATGACATAGACAAAGGTCCCATCAAAAACCAGTGGAAAAACAAATAAGAGGCAAGAAAAGAAATGGATGCAAAAAATCCTGAAACACCAACAGAGCAATATAAAATCTGCAATTATGGCAGAGAACTTTGACACAGGCCATATGCACCAAAATTAGAGTAAAGGGAGTCAAAGCAAAGTTAAAGTAGAACTGCACTACATCTGAGCACCACAAACCAAAAATGCAATTTAATTCATTGTTAATATTCAAAGATAACTCACACATCCATCCTTGTCTCAAAGCTTTATTTTGCTGAGCAATCATCTTAAAAAACAACCCCTAGCATTTCTGAAAGTGGCTATCTTGAGTAAAGGCAGATGATTAATTTGGCATTTGCTTCCTGGAATTCAACTTCCTTTAGCTCATGCATTGGCTGGGCTGAGAACCCTCCCTCCCCTCCTGAAAACTGCTTAGATGTATACAGGGGTGGACTGACCATTCCAGCACTCGGGCACTGCCCGAGGGCCCGGGGTCAGTAGGGGGCCCCATGAAATGCCTCTGGTACCTTTTTATAGGCTTTTTTTGAGTGTGGGCAAGAACATAGGGGCCCCATGATCCCCTATTGCCTGGGGGCCCCATGAGTTGTCAGTCCGCCCCTGGATGTATAGCATGCAAACCAGGAAGTAAATGAAGAAATGTAATAAAATTTTAAAAAAAAGCTTAAAAACAAGTAAATATAATATACTTATCTATCAATTTACTAATGCAAGCAGCATAAGGATTAAAAATAGTCCAAATTGATTGCTAGAATGAAGTTCCACTTTAATTAATTATTGAAAGAAATATCTCAGATAAATTTAATAAAGTGTATTATAAATATGTATGGGAAATCCAGTAGCATTAACCTTACCTTAAAGTTCTTTTGATATGTTTTGTACTGAAATGCACGTTTCTGTAATTCATCCAAAATTATTTGCAAGTCTGTAAGTATTTGTTTAATTTTCGTTTGATCAGCAGTAATATCCAATATCTGTGAGTCCTGTAAAATAATTCACAAACATTTAATATTCTTTGGCTTCAATCACAGGGATGCTATCATGT